GCTGGAGGAGGGGCCCGGGTCTTGGTTCTGGCACAGCCGGTTGGCTCCCCAGCCTGCGGGGTGTCCTGGCTCCTACTGAGGTAGCACGTTAACCCTGAGCCCTCCGCAAAGCGCCCTGAGCGTGGCTTCGTCCCGGGGATGCAGGCTGCAGCAGCCGCCCGTGGGCTGCCAGCAGGGCCCAGCGCTAGGCGAGGGCTGTCGGATGGCTTTGACTTGGCTTTAAAGCTCTTCTCCCTCTCCCGTCTTTGCCCCCAGGATCTCGTGGACTGGCGCAAGCCGCTGCTCTGGCAGGTGGGCCATTTGCGGGAGAAGTACGACGAGTGGGTGCATCAGCCTGTGGACCGGCCCATTCGCTTGTTCCATTCGGATTTCATCGAGTCCCTCTCTAAAACCGCCTGGTAAGAGGCTGAGGGGGCCTGGCAGCGCCCCGGGACCCTTCCTGCGGCCGAGCTGCCGGGCACGCCCCAGACTAGACCCTCGGCACAGCTGGGCCCCGTGAGATCTCCCTTCAGTCCCTCTCTAAAACCGCCTGGAAAGAGGCTGAGGGGGCCTGGCAGCGCCCCGGGACCCTTCCTGCGGCCGAGCTGCCGGGCACGCCCCAGACTAGACCCTCGGCACAGCTGGTCCCCGTGAGATCTCCCTTCCGCGGCTAAACTGAGTGGAAGCGCCTAGTGTGGGCAAGGGGAGGGAAGGACAGGCTGGGGGACCCTCCTCTCCCGGAGCTAGAGCGGGCAGCAGGGACGGGCAGGTGGGCAGCAGCCAGGTCGCTGGCTTGGGGGCGGGGCCCAGCTGCGCAGATAGCCCCCTGAATAACAAGCAAGGGCTAGAAGCGCCCCGCGGCCCGCCTGCCCAAGGCCTTTGGAGCCTCCACGGGCCTCTGGCAACACAGGCGGCGCTGCGCTCCCGTCCCCAGTGTCTCCCCCCTCCTCTCCCGGAGCTAGAGCGGGCAGCAGGGACGGGCAGGTGGGCAGCAGCCAGGTCGCTGGCTTGGGGGCGGGGCCCAGCTGCGCAGATAGCCCCCTGAATAACAAGCAAGGGCTAGAAGCGCCCCGCGGCCCGCCTGCCCAAGGCCTTTGGAGCCTCCACGGGCCTCTGGCAACACAGGCGGCGCTGCGCTCCCAGAAGGGATGGGGCGCAGGGCCGAGGCGCTCGCGCTGCCGGGAGCACCACGGTGATTCAAAGGGCCGGGGCTGCAGCCACTGCTGCTTCTTAGCCAGCAGCTGGGCCCCTGGGACTCGCCGGGGGCCC